TTGTATACAAAAAGTGGTTTAGGCCTCTGGCTGCAGAGCCAGAAGAGGGGAGTTCAATTCCCCTCGGTGCTTCTTTAACAGAGGGGCTGGACTCGATGGGTTCCTTTCAGCTCTGCAATTCCAAGATCATGATTAAAATGAGAACAGAAAGTTACAATGCAGAGCAATGTGTTAATATGTCCACTAAATGGCACTCTGCTAACATAGTAAAACACCGGATCGCTAGAACACTAGATCACCATAACAGAGTTCTATCACATTTTTTTTTCCTCTGCCATTCCTGGGGATTTCTCCATGAACATTCCATAGCAGTATTTGCTTGTCAGCTCAGCAAAGTCCTAGCTGAGTAGATAATTGCAGAAGCAGCTTGATCTCACTGCATCTTGCTTGACTGGCAGGCATATATGAGGCGGGGGGGGGGGATCAAAGTTAAAACTTTTAATTGCTTCTCTCTGATTCTGCAGGGAGAGCAAAAACCACTCAGATTTTCTTAGAAAATTGAAGTAAGCATTTTAGTAGGTTAGGAGACCACCCTATTGGCAGACCTCAGATTTTGACAATTGAGAAAGTATATAAATAAAATCAGAAAGGTATAAAGCCAGCAAAAAAAAAGTAAGCCAGGAGCAAAGGATGAGATGAGAACAGTTAGCTGTACAGAAGAAAAAACTCTGCCCAGGGGTAAGAATTTATAAGAATATTGAAACTGTACATGATCTGATTGTGTAACTACCGTATTTATATTTTAGACACCAAGATACTAAAATCAACATGATTTAAGTGAGAAGAGTTTTTTTAAAGCTTGGTTTCATTTGTTGATACTCAGTTAAGTGCTTAATGCTTTATTTTGAAACTCCTTATTACGTTTTCATAGTTACATTTTTAAAAATACTCAAAAGACAAAAACCCTATCATAGACATGTCTACTCGCATATGTTTGTTTAATAAAAGAAGAGAAAACAAGGATTCTTCCAGACAGCCAATTTACCTACTTGCAAGGAGTAAGAAATTTAAGGGATATTCAGAAGAAGTCAATTTTGCAAGATGCAGAACATTGATCTGGCTCATTCTGAAAGAAAGCCTAACAAGGAAAATGTCAGTGATTAGTGGTGATAAACACAGGCTTCTGGTTTTTCCTAGACATCTATAAATGTCTATAGAGCTCTTTGGATAAATGTTTAAGCATCAGACGTTCTGACGTGACAGAAGCACAAGTGCTAATGTACCTGCTAAGTGCAGAATACTGTATTTGTGTTGTTATTGTTGTTGCATGCTGTCAAGTCATTACTTATTTATGACAACCCTATTAATTTTGACATCAACAGCCCTGCTAAGGTCTTGCAAACTCAAAGCTGTGGTTTCCTTTAAGGAATCAATCTATTTCTTATTTAGCCTTCCACTTTACTTGTCTTTAATTTTCCCAGCAGGAATGTCTTTTCCAAATAATCTTGTCTTTTTGTGATGTGCCCAGAATACTTTGAGCAGAGGAGAGATATACGAAATAAATCTGTCTATTTCACATTACTCCCTACCAGAATAGATCCTTGTGCTTGAGGCTACCCACTGGTTCAAGACATGTTAGTTTACAAACTGGATAAATTTCTCCCTCACCCCTCCTCTTGAGAGCTAACACATTTCTGGAGTCCCTGCGGAATTACAAACACAATGTCTTGGGAAGTCTTTCTATCACAGTAGCAAAGAAGAAGATTACTCACAATATGAAAAAAGGTACCTGCAGATTTTAAGCTGCTGTCAACAGCTTCAACCAGTTTCTGAAAGTTTTTGTCTTCAAGAGCAAACCGGTGTCCAAAGGTCAGGGCACATATGACGTTTGAGACAGAATTGACAATGGGCAATGAGGGGTCACCTGGCTGCCCTGCAAATAAAGTTATATTGGCATTAATTCAATCTCTACTGTCCATATTGTGGGATTTCCTATTTATTTTTGTGTTTACAATCTAGGAACAAAAAATGACTTCTGTCACAGAGGGTACACAGATATTTCTTTAGACTGGAAGCTTCACCGTTCTTTAATCAGTGTTGTAGGGATAAACTTTGAAGCGTAGACCCTAATGTATTCACGAAGCCTGGGATCTAATGGTTGTTGTGGGTTTTTCGGGCTCTTTGGCCGTGTTCTGAAGGTTGTTCTTCCAGAGCACAGAGTGCTGTCCTCTGAAGATGCCGGCCACAGAGACTGGCGAAACGTTAGGAAAAACAACCTTCAGAACACGGCCAAAGAGCCCGAAAAACCCACAACAACCCTAATCATGACCAGAGATGGGCATGGTCTTCAGATGTAGTGGTTTGTTCTTCACATGCACAGGTATTCCAAGGGCACCTGAGCTTCCCTGTCCTGGCTCCTCCTCCTGAGTTGGGTGCCTACCATAGGAGTTGAGGGAAGGACGTCCACAGAACACCTGTCTGTCCAAAGACCAAACTATTATGAACCATCTCTAATCATGACATTCTCTGTAACCATCACTTCTCCATAACAAGAGTCCAAAAATCCAGGCAGGTGGGTTGGTCCTGATCAACAAGCGAAGAGCAGGTCTTTTGTAAGCTTAGGAACTCTTTGCTGCCATTTAAGAAACAAAGCAAAACAAATGTCAAAAAGCAAAGTGTCCTCCTTATATACCACCCTATTGGGCTTAAAGGACTCACTGGGCAGTTTACAGTTTAATTTTCCATGCTATTCATCACCTCACCCCCATGAGCTAGGCAAAGCTAAAGGTAAAGGTTCCCCTTGACAATTTTTGTCCAGTCGTGTTCGACTCTAGGGAGCGGTGCTCATCCCCATTTCCAAGCCATAGAGCCAGCGTTTTGTCTGCAGACAATCTTCCGTGGTCACATGGCCAGTGCGACTTAGACACAGAACGCTGTTACCTTCCCACTGAGGTGGTACCTATTTATCTACTCGCATTTTTGCATGCTTTCGAACCGCTAAGTTGGCAGGAGCTGGGACAAGCGACGGGAGCTCACTCCGTCGCATGGATTCGATCTTACAACTGCTTGGTCTTCTGACCCTGCAGCAGAGGCTTCTGCCGTTTAGCCCACAGCGCCACCACGTCCCATGAGCTAGAAACTCAATTTACTGACCTCAGAAAGAGGTCCACCTCGAGCCAGCGACCTGAGCATGTCAGGATCGAACTCAAATCATGAGCAGAGTCTTGACTGCAGCGCTGCAGTTGAACTGCTGTGCCATGGGGCCACTGGAAAATACAATACCTTTGACCACCATGACCAAACCACAATCAGATAATTTGGATGACAAGAGGGACTTCTCACAACCCTATAGTATTCCTGGAAAATCTATTTCTCTCTCAGGTTGCTGCAAAGTTCAGGGGGTAACGGGGAAGCCCAAAGGTGGGGGAGGAATGCTGTTGTAGTTTCTGCTACTCAGAAAACCCCTGGGTTTCATCCTTGTGAGCTCTGCTCCCTCCACACTGCTGCTGCTCCTATCACCTACCCTTTGCACGTGCGAAAGTCTCCACCAGCTGCTGGGCTTCCTCTTCTATTTGGCGCTCCATGCCTTTCTTCCCCAGTCCCAGCTTCCGCAGAGTAACCAAACCGAACCGTCTCTGCTGCTTCCAGGTGTGGCCGTTGGAAAAAATAATACCTGTGACCACCAAGAATCAAGAAGAAATGATTACTCGCAGAGTAATTCCCCTTGGTGGGGAGAAAGGCAGAACACACATGATAAACTGAAATAAATAAATTACAACAATATAGAATTCATATTAAAAATTGTAAGTTTTTCCAGACTAGAAGAGGTCGCCTGAAATATTCAGGATTGATTCATACAATTCTCCACCAATTAGGAAATACGGATTATTCGTTCTTTATTCATCTTAGAAGTGCAGAGCTGGAAGGGGCCCTATAGATCATCCAGTCCAGCCCCTTTAAAGGAGGCAACGTGGGGAATTGAACTCCCAAAGACCTAAACCACTAAACTATCCAGCAGTTCCTCATCTCTTTGTTAATGCTAGACATGGATGCAGTGATCCCAGAAATTCATGTAATGGACGTTTGTGGGCGGTTCTTCAGGTTATGATCGCTGTGGAGAAAGCTTGTTTAATTTTACGCGGCCAGTTACACCGCCAGATACCACGGCAAACACTCCCATGTGAACAAGCCCATATTTTAAAACACCAGTGAACATCTATGTCAGAAATGACTGTGTCTACTTCTGTGAACCATTCCAGATCAGGAGGTCTGGCTCATAAGTTGTTTTTGAGATGGTTCCGACCAGCAGGCACAAAAGACAGGACAGGAGCTGGGCCGAAAAAAATATACTTAGCGCACTAAACTGATGCCATCTTTGTTGTTTCCTGATCTTCAGTAATGTCAGGCAGTGTCGGGGGGGGGGAGTAATGTTAGGTAAAGGTAAATTTATTTATTTATTTATTTATTTATTGGACTTGTATACCGCCCCATAGCGCTACAAGCACTCTCCGGGCGGTTTACAATTTTAATTATACAGGCTACACATTGCCCCCCCAGCAAGCTGGGTACTCATTTTACCGACCTCGGAAGGATGGAAGGCTGAGTCAACCTTGAGCCGGCTACCTGGGATTTGAACCCCAGGTCGTGAGCACAGTTTTAGCTGCAGTACAGCGTTTTAACCACTGCGCCACGAGGCATTTAGTCCGGTCGTGTCCGACTCTAGGGCGCAGTGCTCATCCCTGTTTCCAAGCCATAGAGCCAGCGTTTTTTTTGTCCAAAGACAATCTTCCGTGGTCACATGGCCAGTGCGACTTAGACACGGAACACTGTTACCTTCCCACCGAGGTGGTACCTATTTATCTACTTGCATTTACATGCTTTCGAACGGCTAGATTGGCAGGAGCTGGGACAAGCGACGGGAGCTCCCTCCGTCACGTGGATTCGATCTTCTGATCTGCTGGTCTTCTGACCTTGCAGCACAGAGGCTTCTGAGGTTTAACCCAGAGTGCCACCATGACCTGGGATAATCTTGATGCCTCATAAATTGACTGGTAAGTCAAGTACAATGGCTGTTATCAGAATTCACTCACTAATATTATCTTGGGTGGACTGAAACTTCCATAGAGATGTCTTTTGTCTACCCCTGGTCCTCCCCTCCACGTTTCTCTTTGGGATGAACCAAATACAAATGCTTATTCCTGACAACTTACCCTTTTGTTTTCCTACAGCTTCAAGAAAAGGAGTCAGTGGTCGCTCAGAAAATTCTTCCGAATGGTCCATCAGTCCTTCTTTCACAGCTTGGAAGCCTGAGAGCACTACGATAGGCATATGTCCCATCCATAGAGTATAAATATTCCCATATTGTTTTGCCAACTGCCATTTGGATGAAAGTATAATAAAAAACCCAAAATGTTAATTTATAATCAAACAAAACAGATATTTCAGGTTAATATTCTTGAGAGAGTGTGAAATTTTGGCTAGAAAACATCTAAGTAGGCTGTGGAAAAAGGTTTAAGGACTTGCAGAGCAGAACAAGCTTAAAGTCTCCCCTCGTTAGACCACTCCTTGTTGTCTTGTAATCCTCAATGGGCACTTACTGTCTCTATAACTCATTCAGAGACATAAGTAAGAGAAAGAATAAAAAGTTCCATTTACTTCCAGTTCTGAGTAGATCAAAACATATTGTAGAAAAATTGTGACTGGTCACATGAACAGAGCTTAATTAATTAACTAGCTTCATACTGACTACATAGCAAACTCTGATGACTGTTGGCTACATACTGACTAACTGACCATTGTCTACCAACA